GCATGCCCGCCGCGTCGGGCTCGTTGTTGGCCATGGCCGCCGCCGCGAGGCGCGCGACGTTGAACGTGCCGACCGCGTTGACGCCGAGCACGTCCTCGAAGAGCGCGAGCGAGTGCGGCCCTTTCTTGCCCAGCGTCTTCGCCGGCGGCGCGATGCCCGCGCAGGACACGGCGGCGTCGACGCGCCCGAAGGCGCTCACCATGGCCTCGAGCGCGTGCGCCACGGCCGCGGGATCGCGCACGTCGCCCTGCTGGAAGATGGCCGAGGCGCCGAGCTCCTTGGCCGTCGCCTTGCCCTTTTCCTCGTCGAAATCGAAGATGCACACCGTGCCGCCGGCGCCGACGATGCGCGCGGCCGCGGCGCGGCCGAGGCCTAAAGCGCCGCCGGTCACGAGAGCGCTCGTGGCGGTCGCGAGAGCGCTCGCCATCGTGCCAGAATGTGCTCGGTTGCAACGTTGCTCCAAAAATTACCACAAGAGCCGACTGCAAGAGCATGGAGCTCTAAAAAAACACTTTTCAAAGCACAATGAGCTGGGGCGCGGACGTCGCCGAGGCCTTTGGCGACGCGCTCGACGCCGAACTCGCCGACGCGCTGCTCGACAGCGTCGACGACGTCGTCGACGACGCGCTGGCGTCGCAGCTCGACGAGATCTCCGGCGGCGGCGGCTGCGTCGTCGTCGACGTCGATGCGCGAGACCCCGTGTTCGTCGCCGCCGGCGCGCGGCTGCTCTTCGCGCGCGGCGCTACGGCGGTGCGCGCGGTCGCGGACGACGGCGTCGCGCCGCCCGCCGAGCGCTTCGCGGTCCGCGTCGCGGCCGGCGGCGTCGCGCGCTGCGGCGCCGCGGCCGTCGTCGTCGAGACGGCGACGCGCCGGCGCTGCCGCGCGCTCGACGACGTCCTCGACAGCTTCGTGCACTGCGGTGGCCGCGCGCGGAACCCGGAGGCCGCGTTCCGCGACGCGTTCGCCCGGCGCCAGAAGCAAGGCCTCGAGGCGACGGCGGCCGCGGCCGCGGCGCTCGGCGACGTCGCCGAGGCCGCCAAGACCGACGAGGCCGTGCGCGCCGCCGCGCGCGCGCTGCGGCGCACCGTCGACGGCCCGCTGCGCGACGCGCTGCAGTCCATGGCGCCGCTCCTCGCGCTGGCGCCCGGCGGCGCCGCGCAGGCCGCCGCTTTAACCTCGAGCCTCGACGGCGCGGCCAAGGACCTGGCCCTCGCGGCCGCCGACGGCTCCGACGGCGCGG